AATAAATCCATAACACAAACAGCTTTTCTGACGTTATTTAGATTATATAAACCGTAAAATATTAATAATAATTTGATTAATATTATTATTAATAGTTTTAATGATTTCTACATCATCAGTCCTTTTTTCCTGCTCTGTTGCCAACATGTACAGTGATGGGAAATCCAGAGCCTTGACCGTTTTGTACGTTAGCCATTAGCTTCACCAACCAATCACACGGGTCACGTGGTCTTTACACACTCCAGCTGTTCTATAGAACCTCCTTGGTCTGGACAGTTTTGTATAATAATTTTAAGTAACAAATTTGTGTGTATTTGTAGATTCCGGTATTACCAAAACGTCTGCACCTTTAGTTATTCTGCTGTGTGGTGGGACTGGTCGAGATGGGAAACAGAGATCGACTGGATGGCTCTGAATGGAATCAACCTGCCGCTGGCTTTCACAGGTCAAGAAGCTCTGTGGCAGGAGGTAAGAACCAACCAGAAACCCTACAGGCACATGTAAAGTACTTAGAATATAATTAAATATGTTTTGTCAGACCAAGCCATCCAGATCTGCTTTCCTGTACACACTTTGCTGTGTACATATCAAAATGTACACACGTTTTTACTGGCCTCTGATCTACACGAAAAGTTACTGAAGCTGGTAAGTAACTTTTGATGTAGGGTACAGCTCTCATAGAACCCCTTTCAAAAAAACTCAACTATTGCTTTAAGAAAAATGATTAAAGGAAACTTCCATTTGAAACAACGAAGTGTTTACACAGAAACAGCTTGCTTCATACCATGGTACGGCTGCCCTGTTTGAATACAATACAGAACTTATGTGTATCTTTGTGTGTCGTTAGGTGTACCGTGCTCTTGGATTAAATGAGTCGGAGATTGAAGAGTTCTTCTCTGGACCAGCATTTCTTGCCTGGAACCGCATGGGGAACATGAACACGTTTGGTGGGCCTCTGCCACAGTCCTGGCATGTGAACCAACTTTACCTCCAAGTATTCACTCCTCCTTGAATGTCAAAAAGCTTTAATGTGTTCTGTTAGGACTGTTGTACTGCTTGCACACAGTGCCAGTTTGTTTTCTGTTTTAAGTAAGAGAACTGGACCTATTGAAATATTATTGCATTCAGACATGTACAGACCATTGAACAGAACTGTCCAGTTGTTAAAGGGATCCATGATTAGTTGTAACATTAGACTTTATTTGATAAACATTTATTTTAACTGCAAAATATAGTCTGTGAACATACTGTAGGCTGTTTAGTTTAGTAATTTTTAAAAAATATATTCTAACACGGACTGAGACATTTTATTTACACACAAAGCATACTGGGTATATAAGCATTTACTGGATAAATGATGACGTGGATAGGTCCTCCCCCACCCGGGGACCTTTCTGTGTAGAGCTGCATGTTCTCTCCGTGCATGCGTGGGTTCTCTCCGGGCACTCCGGGCTTCCTCCCACAGACCAAAAACATGACTGTTAGGTTAATTGATAACTCTAAATTGACCCTAGGTGTGTCCCTGTGATGGACTTGTGACCTGTCCAAAGTGTACCCCGCCCCTTGCACTGTGACTGCTGGATATGGGCACCAGTGACCCCCGTGACCCTGAAAGGAAGAAGTTTGTACAGAAAATGGATGGATATGTATGTGTATATGAATGAATTTATTTCTACCTTCTCCTCTCTGTCAACGCACTCTGGTTTCATTTAAAAGAGTCGATCATCAGATATTGTCCAAGATTAACCTTCAGGGTGGATATAGCTCGCTAGCAGCCTCGCACCGAGGACCTATCCACGTCATCCTTTACCCAGTATGCTTTGCATTTAAATAAAATGGCTCAGTCCATGTAATATATATTTAAACGTTTAGTTTAAAATTGTAAAAACTGAACAGCCTACAGTATTTTTACAGCCTTTATTTTCCAGTTAAAATAAATGTTTATCAAATAAAGTCTAATGTTACAACTAATCAGGGATCACTTTAAATGACCCACTGATTAGCCTGTAATTGTTTCGAGTTCATGGTTAAAATAAATGGTGCAGGGTGGTTGTAACATCAGGAATACAGCTACAGACACGAACACGTCCAGGTAAAGTGAGATTCATTGGACAGATGAATGAGAAAAGTCCAGAGAAAATCCTGGAATGATATCTAGAACTTCATAAAGATTTCAGCTCTTTGAAAAGGTCACAAGAAACTCTGTATTCTTGGAACCAAAGTAAAATCAGCAAGAAAAATGGTTCGGCATCCAGACACAGATATGAAAAGGCCATGTACCACAATCATTACTGTATTAGATCAAATAGGTACTGTATGTTGGGTCCAGCTGAACTGTAGGTTTACCTACTGTATAGTACAAGTAGGTAGACATACAGGGTGGTCTACCTACTATAGGTAGACCTACAGTAGGTAGACCTACAGGGTGGTCTACCTACTACAGGTAGACCACTAGGTAGGAATGCTGTGTTCCAATCAGTGGTGTGCCATCAGGGCCAGCAAAGCCTTCTCTGCTGGCCTTAACACAATCAGAATCACTACATTATAGAATATTTTATATTTATTATAATAGTTATTAATATTATTATGATTATTAGGATATTATTATTTTTGAAACATCTGTTCTCTTTGTTTCATAGTTTTTCTCCTGGCTGCTCAGCTTCAAGCAGCTTATTTATTTTAGAGCTTTTATCCAATCATATTTCGATCATCATCTGTTGCTAGGGTCCAGAAGTCTGCCTCAGGCCTTCAGAACGAACAGCGAAGGCACCTGGAGGGTGAAACACGCAGAGAGACTGTTGCTTTGACCAATCAGATGCTGAGGTGAAGACCTCAGAGCCTGCTAGCTGGCCTCAGACAGCGTCAACATTTTCTCATCGTTTCATTGGTTGATCAGAGAGCAGGAGTCAGAACCGGGAAAAACAGATTTCTGTAGCGTCTTACAAGTGCCTTACAAGCTAAATGCTGAGCGGACATTCTCAGAGTTACAGGAAATTAAAACATAACAAAAATACAACAGAACAGAGTGGACTTTCAGTGTTAGCTTCATGGTGGTGATGGAAAGAAAAGGACTTATTGTTGAAACGGGAGGACCTGTATGACAGAGGAGCTGGATTTTTCTTGAGGATTAAAAGGAGAATGGAGTTTTTTAATGGATAATAAAAAGTTTTGGTGAGTAAAATATGTTATTTAAATGTTTTATTTAGTTATCAGCTTATTTTATAAGTAACACTGATGCTGTTGTTAATGTATGGCACAGCTGTGGCTCCAATTGAGAAAACTTATTAAATGTAATGTGTAGCTTCAGTGATGACTTTCATTCTGGTTTCATGAGACACCTGTCTGTGTGGTGCACAGCAGCATATTGTTCTGCGTTTCTGTGTATTGTTGGTGGTTTTTGTAGTCGTGGCTTCGTGTCAAGTTGTACAGATTGTCTGTAAATTAGACAGGTTTCTCCCGTTTTGCACACTGACCTGTAGGATTGTCTTATAGATTTTTTTTTTCACACACACCCAGTTTAGATTTAAACTGGAATGCCCCCTCCAGTGGTAATACTGTATTCCACTCGTAAAGTGGAAGAAATGAAACTGCCCCGTTTTGATTTCAAGATGGCGGCTACTCGCAGCTTTAGAAAGTTGACTCCGTAACTTTTACTATTAATTATCTTGCTTAATTTTTTGTGCATCTTTAATCACTCGCACAAGTAGTGTGTTTTCTGTGCAATGCTGTACGTTGTTAAAATCAATGTTTATTTGCACGACATACATAGAGATCTTTTTGTCATTGCTTACATTGTAGCAGTGTTGTAGCTAGGTTAGAGGCAACAATACAATCGCCTGTCTGCTAAATGGAATGCAGCTTCACATGATTTGTTGGGAAATGACTTCACTACCATTTACCAGTTCCCAGAATACAATGTAAATGGAACACATACATAGACCTACAGGGTGGTCTACCTACTGTAGGTAGACCAGACCAGGTAGATAGGTCTACCTACAGTAGGTTGAGCAGTCAGGGACATTTTTAATGTCATAGTTTTATGTCTTAAATCATTGTAAAATTATATCTGCTCTGATTTATTTGTGTTGTGAATGTTGTCAATTTTTTTCTTTCTTTTTATTTTTGCAGTTTAAGATTTTAGAGCGCATGAGAAACTTTGGCATGATGCCTGTGCTGCCAGCATTTTCTGGACACATTCCGAAAGGAATTCTCAGGTAACTCATCTTTACCTGGTGGTTTGAATATTGCACAGTACTCTGTTCACAGGTAGAACCGGTTGGTCAATGCCTGTAGCTGAAAACATTTCATAAAGTCCCACATTTTATAATTCTGAATTTCAGTCAGTGATGTAAACTTTCAGGGGATTAAAACATCAGAATTAAAGCGCATTTCTGCACCTTTATTATTTTTAGCCTTTAACCATTCATGGGGAAAAAACTGTGCTTGTGGTTTTCTGTAAGACTTCAACACTTTAACCACCATGCTGACAGCTGGGATGTTTGTGCTCATCTGTTTTTTTTGTTTGTTTTTTTTACTGAACATGCTGTGAATTCTGGGTAAACATCTCACTTTGGTTATAGTACTGTTTTTTTTATTAGTTTCATGACTTGAATAGAGAGGACTTAGTTAACGACAGCATGCTAACAGACTGTACAGTTAGTCAGCAGTTCTACAGTTTTCTGTCCAAGCTTTAATATTAACTCTTTGTATTCCAGGTTGTATCCTAAAGCTAATGTAACCAGACTTGGACCTTGGAGTCATTTCAACTGCAGCTTCTCGTGCTCCTACATCTTAGACCCGCTGGACCCCCTGTTTCTCCAGATCGGCTCTCTCTTCCTGTCCCAGGTGGTAAAACAGTTCAGCACAGATCACATCTACAACACCGACACGTTCAATGAGATGAGCCCACCGTCGGCTGACCCCGACTACCTGTCTGCAGTCAGTCGTTCTGTGTTTGCCTCCATGACTGCAGGTGAGTGCGTGGGTTCAAAACCAAACCTGACACAACCTGATCGGCCGTCTTAATGTTTAGTTTAGGAAGTACAGGGAAAAAGCTGCATGCTAAAAGTAGCAAAAGGCCAGCAAAGACTAAAAGCAGCAGAATGTTGGCTAGAAGTAGCAAAGGTTACATAAGAGCTGAATGCTAAAAGTAGCAAAAGTGTAGCTAAATGCAAAGATTCAAAGAACTTTATTTGCCATTTGTGCATAAACCAGTAATCCAGGAATTCTTGTGCAGAGCTCTCAGTGTCACAGTCAAACCTGTCAAATAGCACCAAACACAGATAAAGAAAAAAATAAAAATAAAGGGGGAACAACAAAAGACACACATAGTATATTTACATTGTTATTGGACATTCTCAGTGGCTTTGTTTTGCCATCAGCCAGGAAATAGCTGTTAATGTTTGTGCATAAATGTTTCAGAAGGCTAGCTAAAAGCTAAATATATATCCTGTAGCTACAAGATAGTTAGAAGTTTAAAATAGCTAAACATTAAATTTAAAGTTGAATAAAAACTAAAAGTAGCCCAAAAAAGACAAAAATAGAGCCAGTATCCTTAAAGGGATCTATGATTAGTTGTAACATTAGACTTTATTTGATAAACATATTTTAACTGTAAAATAAAGACTGTAAAAATACTGTAGGATGTTTAGTTTTTATAATTATTAAACTAAAAGTTTAAAATATATTACACGGACGAGGCCATTTTATTCACACACAAAGCATTCTGGGTAAATGATGACGTGGATAGGTTCTCGATGCGAGGCTGCTAGCGAGCTATATCCACCCTGAAGGTTAATCTTGGACAATATCTGATGATTGACTCTTTTAAATGAAACCAGAGAGCGTTGACAGAGAGGAGAAGGTAGAAATGACTCAGCCTGGAACTGAAAATATGGATGGAGGACAACAGAGCTGCTTCATGGAAGAACAACCTCAGCTTAGCCTGTTAGCTTTAGTGTTAGCCCTGACGCTATCACCATATTTACTGTATGTATTAGCTCAGCGCTACACATTCTCCTCTCGTCACTGAGGTCCTCCATCCACATGACAGAGAGGGGAACACAATGACTCAGGCTGTAACTGAAAATATGGATGGAGGACCTCAGTTTAGCTTGTTTGTTGCACTAGCGCTTAGCTAATACATACTGTATAAGGCAATATAGTGTGAGGTCTAGCACAAAAGCTAACAGGCTAAGCTGAGGTCCTCCATCCATATTTTCAGTTCCAGGCTGAGTCATTTCTACCTTCTCCTCTCTGTCAACGCTCTCTGGTTTCATTTAAAAGAGTCGATCATCAGATATTGTCCAAGATTAACCTTCAGGGTGGATATAGCTCGCTAGCAGCCTCGCACCGAGGACCTATCCACGTCATCATTTACCCAGAATGCTTTGTGTGTAAATAAAATGGCTCCGTCTGTGCTAAAATATATTTTAAAAATTTACAAAACTAAACAGCCTGCAGTATTTTTACAGTCTTTATTTTACAGTTAAATATATGTTTATCAAATAAAGTCTAATGTTACAACTAATCAGGGATCACTTTAAGAATAATTAAAAGTTAAACTTGTTATGAAGGAACTGAAGAGATATGGGAAAGTATTTGTACATAAAGTTATATATTTAAAACTATACAAAAGTTACACAAAGCTGAAGTAACAGCACCCATCTCCTGAATGAGCTGAACATAAAAAAGATGAAAAGAATAGTGTGAAAAGCTGTCCTGGTGTACTGACCCGTGGTAAACTGTCCTCTCTTTGACCTACCCCCCATCTCTCCAGTTGATCCTGATGCAGTGTGGCTGATGCAGGGCTGGCTGTTCTTCAGCGACGCCACATTTTGGAAGCCGACACAGATCCAGGCTCTGCTGCACGGAGTACCTATTGGAAGAATGATTGTGCTCGATCTGTTTGCAGAGGCTAACCCTGTCTTCTCCTACACACAATCTTTCTATGGACAGCCCTTCATTTGGTGCATGCTGCAGAACTTTGGGGGAAATAATGGGCTTTTTGGCACAGTTGAAAGCATCAATTCAGGCCCTTTCCAAGCCTTGAGTTTTCCAAACTCAACTATTGTAGGAATAGGCATGACCCCTGAGGGTATCGAGCAGAACCCTGTTATATATGAGCTGATGAGTGAACTAGCTTGGCGCAAAGAGCCTGTCAACTTGGCCAAGTGGGTGTCACTGTATGCCGTACGCCGCTACGGCAGCATGGATGCTAATCTGACTGCTGCATGGAAGCTTCTGTTTTTTGGTGTTTACAACTGCACTGTGCCACATTACAGAAACCACAACCACAGCCCACTGGTGCGCAGGCCATCCTTTCACATGAATACTAGCCTTTGGTACGACCCGGCTGATCTCTTTGAAGCCTGGAGACTGTTCATGGAAGCAGCTCCTTCTCTGATGTCCAAAGAGACCTTCCAGTACGATCTGGTGGACGTGACTCGGCAGGTCCTTCAAGTCCTAACAGCTTATTATTACCAAGATATCGTTGATGCTTTCCACAACAAAAAAATGCCTGAGCTGCTGACCACTGGCGGTGTTCTGATTTATGACCTCCTGCCTGAACTCAACCGTTTGTTGAGCAGCAACAGCAACTTCTTGTTGGGCTCGTGGCTGGAGAGAGCACGGTCCATGGCTCTGAATGAGCGGGAGGCGCAGCTCTATGACATGAATGCCAGAAACCAGGTCACTCTGTGGGGTCCCAGTGGTGAGATCCTGGACTACGCTAACAAGGAGTGGGGGGGCCTTATGGAAGACTACTACGCTCAGCGGTGGGGGCTGTTTGTCCAGACCCTGGTGGAGTGTCTGGACAGTGGGCAGCCATACAAGCAGGACACCTTCAACCAAGCAGTTTCCCAAGTTGAGAAGGGTTTTATTTACAATGGCAGGAAGTACCCAACAAAACGCCAGGGAGACACTTATGACATCACTTACAGAATCTTTCTCAAGTACTACCCACAGGCTGTTAAGAGACTACTATAAAACTACAACTTGTATCAAGTCACAGCTGGAAGGATGTCCTTCTGTTATTACATTCCAGGACTTTTTCTACAGCTTCATACAGAAAACAGTGGAGGTGTAACCTGTAACATGGTTGTACCGAGCCTTCGCGGTACAAACATCAGGGTCCAGTAGAGACCAGTGGTGAACTTTTAGATCTGGGGTCAGATTTATAAAGGATTGCGTGGAAACCATACTAAAAGTGAACGTACGGCCAAAAGGTGAAAATGGCGTACGTCAAAAAAAATTCAGATTTATTAAACCGTACGTACGCACATTTCTATGCATCTTTCCTTTTTGGATCACAGCCGCACGTCAGAGTTTGCGCACAAGGTCCCGCCTCAGGTTCTACCCTCTACACGCCCACACTCAACCATAAACTGTAAATGAAAAGCACCTCATGAATGTTAAGATGTATTTAAATCAGTCAGCTGATCAGTGATTGGCTCAGACACGCTCCATCGTGCGTCTGGAGGATGACAGGTGCTGACTGACAGCTGCTCACCTGAAC